TATACAAAAGTGGTGGAAAACTTGAAATAGAAGGATATACTGATGTTGACTGGGCCGGTTCTATGTCTGATAGGAGGTCTACCACAAGCTATTGCACTTTTCTTGGGGGTAATCTGGTGACATGGAAAAGTAGGAAGCAGACAGTCGTGGCGAGAAGCAATGCAAAGGCAGAATATAGAGCTATGGCACATACTACTTGTGAATTAGTGTGGCTAAGGCACCTTCTACATGAGATAGGATACAATGGTAACACTCCAATGAAGCTTTACTGTGACAATCAGGCTGCAGTTCATATTTCTTCTAATCCGGTGTTTCATGAAAGAACCAAGCGCATAGAGGTTGACTGTCACTTTGTGAGAGAGAAGGTGCTGAATGGAGTGATATGTAACAAGCTGGGCAAACTTATTTACTAAAGATGTTAACACAGGGTTGACTGTGTTAACACAGGGTTATTTACTAAAGATGTAACAAGCACATAGAGGTTGACTGTCACTTCCCTGTGTTGCATATGTTAACACAGGGAACCAGTGGGCAGACTTATTTACTAAAGGGTTGAGTCGGGGAAGAGTGGACTACCTATGTAACAAGCTAGGATTATATGATATATACTCACCAGCTTGAGGGGGAGTGTTGGTGTCGAGTATGTAGGGGTATTTCTATCTTTATACTTATGTTGAGGTTGCTGATCTATAATATTATATTAGAACTAGTGTCCCTCACTTAAGTAAGGGCACATGTGTCTTTTCCATTATGTTAGTAATATAAAACATGTCTGGCCGAATGGGAGAGGTAATTTTTCTCTCATTCGAACCAAACTTTTCTTCTCTCCTTTTCTCCTCCTTTCTCTCTCTCTTTCTTCTTTCTTCTTCTCTCTTCTTGGCTGTTATCAGACTAACAGAACTCAAGGGCAGGCCGAATCATAATACGGAGAAATCATAGCACCTGTTATATTGTCACTTCCATCTCCAGATGATGCCATCTTAACTGGTTCACCTCACTTCACAAAGGAATCACTATTATAGACAAAGTAGTTACCTTCTACTATTCAGCAACACACCACACACCACTCAACACTTCTACTATTCAGCACCACACCACATACTACTCAACAGACTATAATTATGACCACACTACTGCTGTCATGAATTCAGCATTCGAAAACCCTACTTTCAACTCACATATCCAGGTATAAACAGAAGAAAAAGAAGCTTATAAGCATACCTATCAATTCACATTGCCACATAAATGAAGTCCAGACCAAAAGAAAACAGCCGCAGTCCACTACTAGTCGAATAGAGATTTCTGTTCACACCTGTCCACAACCAGCCCTCTTTGTACCATCAAATAGAGGGTATCTAGTACACCACCACAGCAACTGGATGCATATTTACCTCCAAGAACAAAAAACGACCACTCCTTTTTGGCCCTTTATCGAACTTCTAATCTGTCTAGGAGATATTAAAAAAAAAATTGATATGGCTGGTGTTATCTCAGTGGCTTCAGCAGTTTGAACCAGAAGAAGAAGAAGAAGAAGAAGAAGAAGAAGAAGAAAAGGAACAGTCGAATCTGATAGCTTAAACCCTATCAATCGACCCTAATATGAATTAGCCTCTAATTAGTTGTACAAAGACTAAACTGCCCCCCACTTAAGTATGGGACAGGAAATCTCTATTAAAACTGCCACATAAGCACATAACTTAACAGAAATAAAATGACTAATCTACCCTTATTCGGCTAGCTCTAATAGCTGGCAGTGATCCAGGAAGACGAAGGGCGGTGAGAGAGAAAAAAGAAAAACTGGTTTCTTATTGCTGTGATGCCATGTAAATGGGTAGATTGATCCTATTCAGTTCTAGGTTCGAAGTATGAGAAGGAGAAGAAGAAGAAGAGAAAAAGTCACTCACTCTAGCCGACCCACGTTGTATTTATAATGAATAGGTTGAGTTACAAAAGACAGTATCGTCCCTTACAAGAGATGGGACACATAACTTAAACTTGAATAAAACAGACCTTTCACTTCTAACTAGATAAACCAAAAGACCAAAATACCCCTGTACTGTCGACTCTAACAGCAGCAAAATAGAGGGGGAAGAAAAACTCCCAACAATCTTTTAGGGTTCAAAAAAATATAGGATCACTTCTCATCATTCCCACGATATAAAACAACCTAAAAGGACCAGGTTTCATAGAATAAGAACCCATCAAACAAGGAAAACAAGCCTCAAAACTAGATCTGGAATTTCTGCGATTTTCCACTTGAAAATTCCACAATAAATCATAGAGGCATCAAACATAAATGAGACATATACCAAAATTCATCTAAAGCCAGGGCGAATCAAACCATGTAATTTTTAGGGATTGCCGCTGTCACCTGTACAGATTGTTGATGTCATCTAATGGCAGTCTGACATGAGCAATTCATCCTCTCAGCAAAGATCAGAAGAAGAAGGTTCTCCTAAGAGCTTCTAGTTGCTCTGATATCAAGTTGTAGTGTCTAGGGTTTTGTTGAGAGAGAAAGAAGAAGAAGAGAGAAATTACATGGAAGCCCTCATATGGGCACCGAAATTCAAAAGACTGGGACCAACATTTTTTTTTGCTTCATGGGGCTACACAACAGGGGGTAAACCATCCCCTTTCCCTTGAACCCCCCCCAACCCCTGGTGGCAGAGGGATTTGATCCCAGGTCTCTACTCCGACGAGTCAGAGAACCTACCAACTGAGCCACCATCAGTTGGCAATCCTGGGTCAAAAACCTAGACCCAACCTACCAACTGAACCTACCGACTGGGACCAACATTTGGTAATGACATTTTTATACTAAAATCCTGGGTCAAAAACCTAGACCCAAGTCCAGAAATTTGCAGGCTGGTCCAAGAATGATCACCCTATTGTCAGCCCAAGATTTTATTTCTACACCAATAACTTGTTGAACTGCCACTTTTGATTGTAATTTAATTCTTGAACTTGATCTTTGATAACTTCTTCCCCTCAAATATTTCAAATGATTATGGTGATCCATTTGCAGATTCCTATGTGGTAAGGTTGAAAAATTGAAGCTTCTACACTTGGATTCATCATTCTTCTAAAAGATGATATCAAACTAAAAAGGGATGACCTAACAAAAGGAGCATGCCTGATGTGTCAGACCTTATTTCATCTTTAAAGAGAAGAAACACAGGTTCACAGAAGCTTACTCACTGGGGACCAGATGAAACAGAGACAGCAGAGTCAAAAAGTTCACATCCCAAAGGTCCAACTCTTGCTTTCTCCACCCTTGAACCATGTCTTGTAAGATCCAACCTACTAGCTTCTTTCTGATTTATCAGACCAACTGCCTGTTATAAAAGTCCAAGTAAAAGTGGAATTTAGAGACAAATTCATTGAACCAAACACATGCAATGGAAGAAGGTATACAAACCCCAACTAACACTGCAGATTTTTCACTCATGGTAACACAAACAAGTTTCAAAAGCATAAATCACAATTTATTTCTCTAAAGAATCACATGATGAGACAAATGAGGGGGGGGGGATAGTAAATGATTAAAAGGTACACCAACAGGCATTTAGTGGAAGAAAAATTTTAAATAGGTCTGATATATATACAAGATTCTAATACCATTTAATTTTTTTTTTCAAAACGCCTAATACCATATAATGAACAAGGAGAATAACAACTCAATAAATAAAAACAATATTCAACCTAACAGTGCATGCAAAATGATAACCAACCACCATGTTAATTAGCAAAGCAGTTTTTATTCTATAAGATCTGTCAACTCTGTTTATAACTAATAACACACAAAACAGCAACTTCCTATTTAGGTTCAAACTCTAATAGAAAATAGTAATTGCCTATTCAAGCCAGGATACCTTTATAACTCTCTACTAATTTTACTAAAGCTAACTTAATGTGAAGAAACCAGATAGTCTCCCAGTTGGCCAGACCTTTTATCTATTATATGTTAAAAACAGGTAAAATCACATTTTTATCCCTTTAAGTAATAAAAGCAAACTGACTAAGTTATAACAGTATATAGACATAAATGCCCCTGTCTACTAAAACAAAAGGAAATAAACTAATAGAAATAGAAAACAAGAAATAACAAATCAGCATCCAGCCACTCAACACCCTCCCTCTCAAGTGGGGAATCAATATTCCATATACTAATATCTGGCTCTCTTACCTCCAGTATTTTGAGCTGGTTTCTAGTTCTTTTTGTTTGTGGTTGCTCCCTACCGGTTTCAGCGAGAAGTATTTTCTTGCCTTCCTTTTTCAAGCTCCCAAGGAGAAGAGGGAAAATAATGTGGAGATGCTATTGGGCTGCCATCCTTTGGTCTATTTGGGAAGAAAGAAATGCAAGATTTTTCACAATAACAGACTGACTACAGAACAGATGATAGAAAACATTACTTGAAAATTTGTGCATTGGATTAAAACTCTGGACATCTTCATGCATTTCTCTTCTTGGCAGGTTGTGGCTCAATCTTCTATGGCAAGAATAAATATACCATGACAATGGAGGCTTCCAGTGTCAATCTCAAGTTGAAATTTGCTGGATACAGCATTGATAACCTTGGAGTCTTTAGAGATAGCCATAGAGCTGTGGTAGCATAATATTACAGTACTATTGGTTTTGGGGTTTTACAAGAGCTGAGATACTAGCAGTTCTTTATGGAATTAAGATGTCCAAGAGGATGAATATGAGAAAACTAATGATGGAAGGTGATTCTGAAACAGTAATGAGCTCTCTCAGAAATTATTGTCAAGGAACTTGACACCACTGACATACTTTAAGGGAAATCAAGGATGAAGCAAGGGAGATGATTAACTGAATAGTTGGCTACCTAGATTGGAAAATTGCATTGCTGATTCATTTGCAAAACAAGGAGCAAATAGTGAGCAAATGTACTAGGGGACCACAGATAAAATCTATCTATAATAGGTTTAATTTGAATAGAGGGTAGGCTGATGAATACCAGCCCTAAAGAGGAATTAATATAAATCAGTGTAAATACCAACAAAGATGAATACAGGGTTGTTCTCTTTCAACCATCATCAAGGAATGCAATCCTCTTGACTCAAGTCCACCAATTTTCTTCCTCATCTTTATGCTTTGAAAATTTAAATACACAATGAGTAATGAAAACATTCAGGTTTAAAGAAGAAGGTGAAGAGTAGTAGAGAAGAAGAAGAAAACTCAAGAGTGGCCTGCAGCTTCTCCATTCTGTACAGCCCTAACAATACCATTTAGCCCAATAGAGAAAATACATAAAAATGACATAAGGCCCAGGCCCACTCATCCCAATAGAGAAAATAAATAAAACAAGTACATAACAGCCCAAGTCCACATAATCCACACAACACTCCCCCTCAAATTGAGAATGGATATCTATCATGCCTAGCTTGCACAACATTGTTTCTGCCCACTAGTGGAGAATTGGAGGTTTCATCCCTACTTATAGTCCAAGATTGAAATTTTGTTGATATTTGTAGAGAAGATGGGCCGAATGGCCCATAGCCCACAGTTTTTATTTCTCTTTATTCTTCTGTTCTGTTTTGTTAATGGGCCTTCTCTTATGGGCCGAATGGCCCAATTAAGGGCTTACTTGTAATTTTTTAAAATTAGTGATTAATTTTTAATGAAAGGATTAGGGGAAGGAGGGACTGTACGAACAACTCTTCTCCTCACCCTTCTCACAACCGAACTCTTCTTCTTCCTCTTGCTGCTGCTATCTCCTTTGTTTTTTCCCTTCTTTTAATCAGTTTTCTTATTCTTTTGGGACTATTTTTCTTCTTGGTATCAGAGGAGGTCCCTTTTTTCTTTCCCCCTTTTTTTCTTCTTTTTTCTTTTCCCATGCACAATGTGTATGGAAAGTCGAACCAAATATTTGATTGAAGAAGATATCCAGCCCAATTGGTAGTGGTTTCTTGGAGAAAAAAGGAAGATATCAGTCTCATCTTTTTAACAGTTTTTGGTTTTTGCCCAAAAACCCTAATCAACTAGAGAGTTTTGATTGCGGGTCCCACAGGAAGCTTTACCTTGGTGCTCAGTGGTTGAAGGGGCTCTTTTTTTTATTACCTTGAAGATTAATCCAAGCTTTGCGCAGTTCTGTGAAGCCTACAGGGAGTGGCTGCCTCTTTTCTTTTTCCCCCAGGTTCTAGGTGAGACGCAGTTGGCTGTTAGGGATCTGTGAAGGTTGGTACTTGGTGTCTGTTATTTCCTATCTTCTTTATTTGTCATCTAAAAACTGTTTTAGTCATTGTTTGAGGAAGATGGATGTTTCTGGAGTTGAAAATAAGATGGGCTCAGAGTCCAGACAGGTTCCAGGAGCACCTGTAGACTCTTTATTGGCTATGACCACAGTCAAGCTTGATGAGACTAACTATCTAGCATGGTCACAATCAGTAAAGATACATGTTTGTAGTAGAGGCAAGTGGGGATATATTTCTAGGAGCAAGAAAGCACCAAGGGAAGATGACTTGTCTTATGAGAAATGGTTGCAAGAGAATTACACTGTTATTGGGTGGTTAGTGAATTCAATGCAACCGCAAATTAGTCAGCACTATTTGTGGACGAATTTTGATAAGGAAATATGGGATAGTGTTGCTGAAACCTATTCACAAAAACTGAACATGGCCAGGGCATGTAAGTTAAGAAGTGATGTGAACAGGGGGAGAAACCTTTAGCAGTCTACTTCTCAATGCTGAAATCCTTGTGGCAAGAGATAGATCTCATGGAAACAGTTGTCTGGGAAAATACAGATGATGTAAAGACATAGAAAATTAGTTGAGAGGAATAGAGTTTTTGAATTCCTGACAAGGTTGAATCCAGAATTTGATATTACCAAATAGAATATCCTAGCTAAAGACAATGTATCTTTGTCTCAGGCTTATGCCATGGTGAGCAGTGAGAAGAGAAGGAGGATGGTTCAGGTTCAAGGGACAATTCCAGTTGACCATTTTGCTAATATGGGGTTGAAACCTAGGATGACTACAGGTGGTAAAGGGAAGGAGGTTATATGTGAATACTATAAGAAACCAAGACATACAAAGGATAAATGTTGGAAGCTACATCCAGACCTTATTCCACCTCATTTTCAAAAGAAGGTCGAAAATGGGAAGACTGGGAGTGCCAATGCAGCCATAGTTTCAGATAATGATGGGAGTGCCACAGATGAGAAAATTGCTAGTGAGCAGTTAGCTATTATGAAGGCGGAGTATGAGAAATATGGGAGAATGATCAGCCACCTTGAGAGTGTAGCCACCTCCTCCAACTCTTCAAGCAATCCAACTACGTCAGCATTTGCTCATTCAGGTATACGTGCTACTACCAACCATGAAGCCATGTCAGGTAATCATAGGATCCCTCGTATTATTGATTCTGGTGCTTCTGATCATATGACCAACATTTATACTCTGTTTAGCCCTTATGACTTACTTTCTACTCGTGATAAGATTACCCTAGCCGATGGCTCTCTTGCTCCTATCTCTGGCAAGGGAGTCATCAAGGCCACAAACCCCCTCTTTTCCCTTATTTTTGTCCTTCATGTCCCTAAATTGCATACTAATTTGATGTCAGTGAGTAGCCTAATTAAATCCTTAAACTGCAATGCAACCTTCTTCCTTTCTTATTGTGTTTTCAGGACCTAAAGTCTCAGAAAGTGATTGGGAGTGGCCATGAAGCGAATGGAATATATCTGCTAGATACTCCTCGACAAAGCCGAGGACAGGCTAAAAGAGTTGCTTTCGGGTCTACTTCTTCAGAGTCTTTTAGTCGTATCATGTTATGTCATTTTCGTTTGGGTCATTTATCCTTTTATGCTTTGAGCCATTTATTCCCAGAGTTGTTTAAGGGAATTAACTTGTCTAGTCTTCATTGTGAGTCATGTGAGTTATCAAAATATTGTAGAAGCACTTATCCTTTAAGCAATAAGAGATCCACTTTTCCTTTTCATATTGTGCACTCTAATGTGTGGGGGCCATACTACTTGCCTTTCGTGGGTGGTTATCAATATTTTATCTTGTTCATTGACAATTTTTCTCAGTATACTTGGTTATTTTTTATGAGATCTTGTGACGAAGTTCCCAAGCTTGTAAGACAATTTCATGAATATGTTCTTACCCAGTTTGATACAAGAATCAAGATATTTAGGTCTGATAATACAAAAGAATACTTTGAGAATAACCTAACCTCTTATCTCACTGACTTTGGTGTCATCCACCAGAGCTCTTGCATTCGTACTTCGGAATAAAACGGAGTATCTGAGAGGAAGAATCGTCACATAGTTGAAGTTGCAAGAAGAATTTTGTTTGCCTCATGTGTTCCTACAAAGTTCTAGGGGATGTTGTTCTCACTACAACATACCTAATCAATCGTATGCCATCCATAGTTTTGGGCTTTAAGTCTTCTTTTAATCTTCTTTATCCAAATAAGGACCTTTTTATCTTCCCCTTCGTATCTTTGGTTGCACCTGTTATATACACATTTCTAGTACCTAAAGACATAAATTTGAACCAAAGGCCCATAAGTGCATTTTTCTTGGTTATGCCTCCACACAGAAGGGTTATTGTTGTTTTAATCCTAGTAGTGGAACTTGTTGTCTCAATGGATGTCACTTTTGCTGAGTCCACTCCTTTCTATGGTTCATCTCAGGGGGAGTATTTGTCACAGTTGTTTGCACTCCCCCTTCATGTTCCTGTTGAGTCTTCTTCACTTGAGTTTTCTTCTGTTGAGTCTAAGAGGGAAAAATCAACTCCGGATCCCTTCACTATTCTTGTTTCTCCTCCATTGCCTCCTCGTCCTCTTTCTACTCATAGGTGGTACCAACAGCAAAAGACCAGGAGTGAGCAAATTGTTTCCTCTACACCACATGAGCCTCCTACGCTTCCAGTTGCTTAAGAGACAATAGGTATTGAGGTCACTCCCTTGCAGCCTCCCTTCCCAGACCTTGATGTCCTTATTGCCACAAGGAAAGGTAAACGGAAGTGTACTGCACATTGCATTTCTAAACATCTTTCCTATGGCCTTCTTTCTCCTTCATATTATTCATTTCTTTCCTCTGTTGCTTCTATACCCAGGTCTGTATCAGCAGCTCTCTCTATTCCAGAATGGAGGGATGCTATGAGAACCGAGATAGAGGCTCTGCACAAGAATGCCACATGGGAAGTGGTTGATTTTCCTGAAGGGAAGGAGCTAGTGGGCTGTAAATTGGTGTACACCATCAAATATCATGTTGATGTCTCTATTGAGATACAAAGCTCGATTGGTTGCAAAAGGCTACACGTAGACTTATGGGATTGACTACCTAGAGACTTTTGCCCCTGTTACGAAGATGACCTCTGTGAGGGTCCTGCTATCTTTGGCAGCTCATTTAGATTGGCCCCTCTATCAGCTAGATGTGAAAAATTCCTTCTTGAATGGAGAATTACAAGAGAAGGTTTAAATGTCTCTCCCACCAGGGATGTATGGCATAGACATGAAGGGTAAGGCGTGCAAGCTGAAGAAGTCTCTCTATGGGCTCAAAAAGTCACCTAGAGCCTGGTATGAAAGGTTTAGGGCTGCTCTTGTTAAATTTGATTACACACAAACTCAGTCTGACCATACCCTAGAGAAGAGGTTCATTGGTGGTATATCTTATAGTCTATGTGGATGACATTGTAGTGACTGGCACTGATGTGACTAGGATTGATAACCTTAAATCCTTCCTTCATGTAGAGTTTGAGATCAAAGACCTAGGGGAATTGAGGTATTTCCTATGCATTAGGGGTGTTCACGGGTCGGGTTGGGTCGGTTTATTGGGGTTTTCCCAACCGACCCGACCTAGTCGGGTTACCTGAGGTGGAAACCGAAACCGACCCACGGATAGGCCAAACCGACCTGGTCGGTTTGAGTCGGGTTGGGTCGGTTTGGGTCGATTTCAGTTTTGCTCCTATACAAAAGGACGCCTAATTGAATTATATTTGTAATTGCCTAATGGGTTGCCTATTTGGTGTAAAAGATTATAGAAAGTTAGAAACTAGGATAGATTGCCTATTCTAATTGTAATTGCCTAATGGGCCTTCTAGTTTTAGTAGAAGACTAGTTATAGTTAAGTAGAAAACTACTCAAACTAGGAACGGGTCGGGTTGGTTTCGGTTTTCACACAAGAAAACCGAAACCGACCCGATATATTGGTTTATATATTTTCCCAACCCAAAACCGACCGGTACTGATGAAAACCCAGCCGACTCGGGTTGGGTCGGTCCGGGTTGGTCGGTTTGGTCGGGTTGGGCATTCTTATGAACAACCCTACTACGCATTGAAGTGGTTTAGTCTAAAGATGGAATCTTTATTTCTCAACGCAAGTATGTGCTAGACTTGCTCACTGAAACAAGTAAAATGGGTGCAAGACTAGTGGCTACACCTGTTGATATGAGTCACAAGCTTTCTACCTTTGATGGAGAACTATTGAAGGATAAGGGAGTGTTTCAAAGGTTACTAAGGAAACTGCTATATCTTTGTATGACTCGCCCTAACATTGCATATGTTGTTAACTGCATTACCCAGTTCATGCATGCTCCCAGAGATACACATATGGCAGCAACAGAGAGGATTTTATGTTACTTGAAGAGCACTCTGGGGAAAGGTATTCTTTTTGCTAAACATGGTCATATGAAACTGGAGACCTATACAGATGCTGATTGGGCAGGCAACATTGATGATAGGAGGCCAACTTCGGGATACTGTAGTATGGTGGTAGGCAATATTGTTTCTTGGAGAAGCAAGAAACAATCTGTTGTTGCTAGATCTTCAGCTGAGGCAGAGTACAGAGCTATGGCTCATGGAGTTTTTGAGTTACTTTGGCTTCGATCCTTGGAGGAATTAGGTGTTAAGTATGACAGACCGTTGATGTTGTATTGTGACAATTAGGCTGCCATTAACGTTTCCCATAATCCTGTGCAACACGATAGAACTAAACACATTGAAGTTGACAGGCATTTCATTAGAGAAAGAGTGGCTTCTGGAGAAGTTTGTCTACCTTTTATTGCATTTGAAGAACAATTAGCTGACATTCTTATCAAAGGTGTCTCCAAGGCCAAGCTACAGCATGATACAGGCAAGTTGGGCATGATTGACATCTATGCTCAGCTTAAGGGGGAGTATAGAGAAGATTGACCAAATGGCCCATAGCCCACAGTTGTTATTTCTCTTTATTCTTCTATTCTGTTTTGTTAATGGGCCTGTTAACATTAGTTTTGTTTTGTTTAATTAGTTGGCCAACCAATTAAGGGCTTACTTGTAATTTCTGAAAATTAGTGATTAATTTTTAATGAAAGGATTAGGGGAAGGAGGGACTGTACGAACAACTCTTCTCCTCACCCTTCTCACAACCGAACTCTTCTTCTTCTCTTCTTCTTCTTCTTCTTCTTCTTCTTACTTCTGCTATCTCCTTTGTTTTAATCAGTTTTCTTATTCTTTTGGGACTGTTTTTCTTCTATATTGTTTCCTACAAGATTCTTAGTAAATGAAGTTCAGCTCCTATGAACTCATGGACTGTGCTGGGAATAATTTCAATCTGTTCATTTGTACATCAGTGGATATAGAAAACTTGGGTATTTAACTACTGTAGTGATGCAGCTAGGTCTTTTAAATCCTAGTTACACAAAGTGGGTCCAAGAAAACTTCATAGTTATATTGTGGTTGTGTGGTTCCATGCTTCCACACAGTAGTACGAATGTTTTTATGGATGGAATATGATAAAGAAATCTTGGATAACGTCTCAAATAATGTATTAACAGGCACTAGAGGTTGTTACAGCATATCAGCCTAAGTGTGAAACAAATAATTTAAAGCAAGAGAAAATTTCAGCAATTTATTTTTCTATGCTGAAATCTTTGTGGCAAGAAAAAGTTTATCTTGAGAGAATACAGTGGAAAAGTCTTGAGGAAGCCTTTAGGGACTGCAATAGCATGACCGTAGGGCTTTGTTCAGGCCATAATGGAATTGGGGACTCAACCATAAGGATCACAAAATAGAAAAGCTTCAACCATCTAGAGGTAAATAGGACTCGAAAGTGATTGTGGTGTGGCTAACCAAAAAATTACAGGTTACTTGGCAACACTGGAACATAATGAGGAAAATTCAAAAATTGGGAAGGAGACTTATTGTAGCTTTCAAGTGGATAAGCAGGTTAGCCAATGTTTTGGCCAATACATTGTCTAAGCAAGGGGTAAACAGGTCAGAACTATGCAAGAGTCTATATTATCAGGAGTTTGGGGGTTGCAATGCCTCCAATGTATGGATGACTTTTGGCTGTACAATTCTGTAACTCCTTTAATAAAATCAGAATTAAATTCTTCAAAAAACTAGTGGGAAAGTCCCAAGGATTCTGAAACCTTTGCAGCTCTCCCTCCAGTTAATGCAATTTCTTACTTATCAAAAATAATAATAGAAAAAATTCTTAATGATTCACAACATTATGCCTACAATCAGGATTTCAACATGCAAAAAAGAACCCTGAAACTATTTAAAAACTTACTTCCATGGTTTTCAATATGAACTTATAATAAAATCATTTGTAAAACTAGTTTATAGACTTTCTAAGTATATTTTCAATATAAATTAACAAATCAATTTCTAAGTAAATTTTAAACCTGTTAAAGACTTTAACTTACCTTTTGTACATATGAAAATTTCAACTAAAATTGGCAGGAGCCTCATGCACTGGGCTGCCCTATGAAAAATTCCACTAATATTTTGTCCAATCAGTAAATTGTAAATTGGTCATAACTTGCTCAAAGTAGCCATTATAGTGACACCGAAATCAATGGAAAAGACCAAGCTCTTAAATTGCCCCTGAAAATGATAAGAAAGAGCAATTAAAGTGTCACTTTGTTCAGCATATTCATCTTTCTTCTTCTTCCTCACCTGGCTAGAATAGCATTCGTTCTTCATCAGGGCTGTTTCCACATATAAAAAAGAATTCATTCTTCTAGGTATGCTATGTGATCAAATCCAAACATCAGATTCAATTGTTACATATAAGTGGCAATATAGAACTGTTTATGATAAAATTGATAGTTATTGCAATCTTTTAGAAAAGTGACAGAACTTTACAAGTTTGGTACAATCTTGGAAGAATACATTGTGAGATAGAATACTTATTATGTTACTCAGACATGGTACCAAAAGCAAAAATTTAATTTAGAAGGCAAAGTGTGGACCTCTACTAAATTCCATTTCTTCGAGACAATCTCATTTTTTATTGATTCTATAAGAAAGCATTCTTAGTATTTTACTCATATAAATGAAAGAGCATATACCTCAAAATAGAGTGCTTTATCTGTCAATATAAGTTTTCCAGGCCAAGCAATGCTATTTTCCCATTTTAGAACAGGTTGCTTACTGCTAGAACCAACACATAAGATTTGTTCATCAGAAAGTATGGGTGTTTCTCGTGTCTGGTATGACTTCCGCCCTTCATGAACCCTATACAAAAGAAAACAAGTACAACACCTTAAATTGAGAAAAGACCAAAATATTCATGTAATTTTGGTGAAGCATTGCCGTAGGTCAAACAGGAGAGGAGTTTCTACGGAAACAATGAAGTGGAGTTTGAGAGAGGAAGATCTCTCCCATCATTATCTGTTGGATTCTTTCCTAGTACTTCACCCAAGGCTTTACAAGTATCAGAATGGACATCAACTGAATGGAAAGCTGAGTGAGAGGACTAGGCTAGAAACATGTTTTGTGTCTTATTCCTCTTCACCTTTGGAAATTGGAGAACAACATCTTTGAAAAGAGCTCTTTAACAAAGTTGTGTTATGAACCAGTCATAGACTCATAGGTTCCCATGCCCATATTTCAAATCAAAATGGTGGAAAATTAATGGACCTTGTTGCACTTGTGGATTCAGTTTCTCTTTGAGACTATTGAGAACATTTCATGTTACTATTTTTTTGCAGATCCACAAAAGTGTTCTTGGGAGATCATAGGTAATGCTAAAATCTTGATCAAGCAAGAAGGTATCAAGAAGATGCCAAATACTGACATTGGAGAACCAAATACCTGAACAGATTTTGTTTTTCTTTGTTACCAAGTTGAAGATGATTACAAAAATGCAATAATGCCCTCCATACAAGTCAAAATTACTTCAGGCACCAAACCCACTTGCTCTTTATCGAACTTAGTGGTGTTCAATAAAATTTTAGGGAATAATATCCTCTTTATTAGAGGTTTTTATGTATATGCCTGCACACTTACTTGAGAATTTCTTCAATATACATAGTCCACGAGCTTAAAGAGATCCCCTGTTCTTCTCCCGCAAGTGCCTTGTAAAGACTGTATACTGTTAATCTATCAGCCAGACCAGCAACAGCTGGAGCTATACGAACAAAAGCCTCTTCTCTTACAAGCTTCATCTTCAATCACAAGAACACAAACTATTTTAGATGATAGCCCTCAAAATAACATAGAATGTTGGTAACAAGAATCTAACCACAATGGATAAGAAATACAGAAGTCTACTTAAAGTTAAATTTGAAAAAAAAAAACGAGTCCAGAAGGCATTTAATGTAGACAAGAATGAAAATATCAAATTATCCCTTCTTTTGAATATGTATATAGGTAATGATACTCAAGAAAATGAAATTGCAAGTAAAAGCATGAATGAAGTTTGAAGATGTTGGACAATAAGGCTAAACAGCCAAGGTGAGAGTTCAATATCAATGGGTAATGGCATGGTGAAAGCTAATTCATAACGAGTTAGGGAAGTTCATCTCACTTTTTTTTTTTTAAATCCTTATATTATTATTCATAAATAGGAGCTTTAGATTTCTCTTGTTGGATGCCAAATGCTAGGTCCCACTGCATAGCATTTTTCTGTACAGAGGCAAACTGTGTATATATTTATCTCTACCATGTCAAAAATAAATAAATAGAATAAAACCTCAGATAGAACATGAACCACATTGAACATTCATCAGTAAAAGCTTTTATAGGATCAAGCACATTATTCTTATCCAAGCACCTTGCCGATTATCAAACAAAAACTAACACCTAAAAATTAAAAGTGTCCAACACAATAGGTCACCTATGTACAAGTATCTGGGTGTCATAGTCCTCTAGAATGACCTCATAAAAGCTTATTTAATTGTATTTTTGTGCTAAATGATGTTATACTTAATGTATCTTATCAGCATATTAAAACAAGTTTTGAAAACACATCCTAGTAGATTTACATGTTTATTTTAATAGCATCCAAAACTTTTATCTATAATACACTACACACCTTTTCTCCACACTCAGTACATATTTTTAAATCAGTAACATCACCCAAGGTTCGAAGTATCAAAGTATCAATACACCTGATATGCACAAATATGTGTATTGGGCATTTCAGGTCACTGATACTCTTTTTTATTAATTTTTTTGGATTCAAATTTTTATAGGGGTTTGTGATATTTATATTTAATGATTAAAAACATTAAAATTTTCAAACTCTTAAAGATAGGCATTTTGATGACCTTTGGGAACAATACAATATGCCCGAAACAGGGCACAGGATATATCACATAGATAATTTGATCCTTGACTATACCCATAGTTCACAATATTGGCAATATTTAGTGAAATTTCATAGAAACCTCCCTATTTGGCTAGGTGGTAATACAAAATATTTTGAGAATCTTTTTTTCTTAATATCTCTAATGTTTTGCCAATAAGTTGGCAATATTTCAGATTTCATTGATTGACTATACATTTATGTTTAAGAACTTTTTTAAAATATTTTGATATTTCATTAAAATCATCATAAGTTTTTAAAAATCTTTCCCTTAAAGGACCCATAAGAAAATTGGTAATTGGATGATTGGCTCACTATTTTGATATGATTCACATACTAAGTCACTACAATTCAAAACAAAAAGAAAAATGCACACAAGTACAAAAGAAGATTCTCAATCTAACCAAAACATATAAGACAAGAGACCTAATACTTTGAATCTGCCATTAGATGATACTTAGAATATGACAACTATAGTAAGAATAACTCATCATTTGCAAAACTCAAACAGAAAATATAAAATGTATTATAAATTAATCAAACAATGTGCTCTTGCAGATTGCTGAAACAATAAGTGAAACACAATTCAGGGAATGATCTATTGTGATATAATATTTAGAAATTCAAACCTGCAAGGAAGTACTTCCCGAAGCATTGACATGTGAAACAATGCCTTCACTGTAAGGATTCTCCCATGCAAGCATTGTTATGAAAAGAAGTCTTCTGAATGCATGTCCCTGTGAAAAAATGTATCTATTACTATATAAGCAGATACCCCACCTTAATAGCTATGATTACCATTCTAAGTGTAGCTGTTGAATAATTGAGGGGGTGTGTTGCCATGGTGTTTTCGGGCTAATCAATATAAATTTGTATGAGAAAGATTTTTCTACCTAAAACATTTTAAGTTGATTAATACTGTTACGAAATTATAGGCTGTAAATATGTAGTATTAGCCCAATTAGGAATAGCTTGATTATAGGAATTATTCTTTCTTTGATTTTCTTCCTATTTTAGTATCTACAAGGCTGTATGATTTTCTTCCTTTTTTGTATCTGCAAGGCTGTATGATTTT